TGTCAGCTCGAGTGCGCATGAGCAGTGACGTCACAGCCAGTATAAAAGCTCGTGCCGGCCTGCTGGTGGTATAGATTTTCCTCTCTGCTCGATGGGAGAACGTACTCACAGTAGATAATACTAGTGTGGCTTTGTGTGTTTAGACGGTTACAAGCAAGGTAAGCTTGTTCTTGTGTTCATACTCTTTAGTACAGGATTTTCATGTGTGGTACTTTGTGTTTTAATCTAAAAAATTTTACTCTGAAATTTTGTATGTTTGTGTGTATCTTTTAATGAAAACTTGTTCTGTTTTCGCAGATTAAATCCTCAACAATGACTTCGACAGCAACCAACAAGACGGTCCTGGACAGGTACCTGAGGCTGCCCATCCCGGACAACAAGTGCCAGGTGATGTACGTGTGGGTGGACGGCTCCGGCGAGAACCTCCGCTCCAAGTCCAGGACCATCAACTTTATCCCCAAGAGCCCGACAGGTGAGCTGGTCTGAGGTCCCGTGGCGGTGGTGTGGTTACTGGGGCTGTCTGGGGTCTTGATTATGGTATTTAGTCTGTTATTGTGGTGAGAAGCGTCCCGTGGGTCGTGGTGGGGTTGAGGGCGGTGGTGGGTTGAGGTCTGTTCGGTAGTGAGGTGGTGTGGGCAGGCAGGTGTGGGTATAGTTTAAGATGGTTCTACACTGATTTTTAATTCAGGTAGTCTTGGTTTTACGTGAATTTAATTTCTCTAGCGTACAAGTTTGTGTACTTCATATATCTACATAAAATCGGACAAGACTGCTACCTCTAGGTAACAAGGGTACAGGTAGTCAGGTGTGTTGTGGGGTACAGGTAGCCAGGTGTGTGGTTGTCCGCCTCCACCCTTGGTGAAGGCGCTCTCCCTGATCAATAGTGTGCCTGCAAGGAGTGGGGGTCCCCCCCCCCTCCACCCCTTCCCGGTACTCCCCCCCCCCCCCACCAGTCTCTCCTCCCCACCCTAGTGCACCTCTGGGACCCCCTCCACCCTAGTGCACCTCTGGGGACCCCCCCCCACCCTAGTGCACCTCTGGGGACCCCCCCCCCACCCTAGTGCACCTCTGGGGACCCCCCCCCCCACCCTAGTGCACCACATGGACACCCCCTTCCCCCCACCCTAGTACACCTCACCTTTCACACATTACAGGAGGGAGTATAGTACTGCGCTAGAGATGTAACAAGAAATTTTAAAGTACTATAAATGTTATACTTTATTGTGTATATTGTTGAGTAAAGTTTCTTTTTAGGAAGACTTCTTAACTATAGTTATTATAGATAATTTAAAGATATTCATATTGCACGAGTAATTTTATACACTTTAAAAGATTTGTTTAAAATATTAAACATTGTTCACAAATTTAAAGATTTTCAAGCTCTTACGTGGTTTAAGTAACTGTTGGTTTTATATTGGTTTTAACGATCCCTGTTTTTGTCTAATTTCAGAACTTCCAATCTGGAACTTCGACGGCTCGTCTACCGGCCAGGCTGAAGGCAGCAACAGCGACGTGTACCTTCACCCAATAGCACTCTACAGCGACCCCTTCAGGCTGGGCGAGAACAAACTGGCTCTCTGTGAGACCTACAAACACAACAAGAAGCCGACGGAAACCAATCACCGCCACAGGTGCTTGGAGGTGTGCACGAAAGCTGCTGACACTCATCCTTGGTTTGGCATGGAACAAGAGTACACTCTCCTGGACACTGACAACCATCCCCTGGGCTGGCCCAAGAATGGCTTCCCTGGCCCTCAGGGCCCCTATTACTGTGGTGTGGGGGCCAACAAGGTCTACGGCAGGGACGTGGTGGAGGCCCACTACAGGGCGTGTCTGTACGCCGGCATCAACATCTCTGGAGAGAACGCCGAGGTGATGCCCGCTCAGTGGGAGTTCCAGGTTGGTCCCTGTGAAGGCATCACTATGGGCGACGACCTCTGGATGGCCCGGTACCTCCTTCACCGTGTTGCAGAAGACTTCAACGTTGTGGTGTCCCTGGACCCCAAGCCCATCCCTGGCGACTGGAACGGTGCCGGAATGCACACCAACTTCTCTACTAAAGGAATGAGAGATCCTAATGGAATCTCGGAGATACAAGAAGGCTGTAGAAAATCTTTCTAAGACATCATGCTGTGCACATCAAAGCTTACGATCCCAAAGAGGGCAAGGATAACGAGAGGCGGTTAACTGGACTGCACGAGACCTCGTCAATCCATGACTTCTCTGCTGGTGTAGCCAACAGAGGCTGCTCGATCCGTATCCCTCGCGGTGTGGCGGAAGAGAAGATGGGTTATCTTGAGGACCGTCGACCATCCTCCAATGCAGATCCTTACATGGTGTCAGAGGTGCTGGTGCGGACGATTTGCCTAGATGAGTAGGCTCTGGGGGAGGTCTTCACGCCCACTACACCTGCGGCAGACAGCTGGTCCTCACAGCTGTCTGGGGGAGGTCTTCACGCCCACTACACCTGCGGCAGACAGCTGGTCCTCACAGCTGTCGCACGCTAGGGACCAACGCACTTCCATTATTTCTCGTATTCACCCTGCCATTTTAATCATGTTGATTAACATTTTACCTCATTCATTTCTAACCTCCATTCATTTTCATTTTAATCATTTCCTGTGAAAGATTTAATTTGAGTACAAGTATTATTTTATTGTGATATACGCAAGTATGGTTTTTTAAACCACTGTCCATATGTAAATAAGAATTTTTAAGTGTCGTATTTTAAAATTTTAATGTATAACAATAATCAATTTTAATATATCATGACCCATTACATGTTTGTAGTTCGATAGTATATAATTTTCCTCTTTAGTTGCTGAATGACTAGACCTTTTAACTGACACGAGTAGCAGTGTTCTTGGTACATTAACACTGAAGAAATTCTTACCTTTATGCGCTACAGTAATTTGTCTGCGATTTATTGGCATAAAGAAAATTTTATTCTTCGGTATTTTTCATAATTCTTTCAATGAAGATCCTCACTATTGTATACAAAGCTGTTTGAGCGCGCCTGTTGACGTCACCCCGTTGTTGATTCATGGGTCGTGTATGGGGCAAGTGCCTAGGACAAGTCGGGACTATTGGTATGGGTGTTGTCCGCCGGGCTCTGCTCCTGTGTTGCCTAGATCACCTTGACCATGGCAACACAGCTTCCTCCTCCCCCCCCCCCCTCTTACTCTCAGCACCAACACATTATCGCCTTCTTGGACCACAACACCCATCCCAGGCCTTCTGAATCCTACCAACCCTACCACATCCCCCCCCCCCCTCTCCCCACCAACCCTACCACATCCCCCCCCTCCCTCCCCATCAACCCTACCACATCCCCCCCCCCTCCCTCCCTTACCAACCCTACCATATTCTTCCCCCTCCCTCCCCCATCAACCCTACCACCCCCCCCCCCTCCCTCCCTTACCCCTACCATATTCCCCCTCCCTCCCCCACTAACCCTACCACATCCCCCCCTCCCACCAACCCTCCCTCCCCCTCCATCTCTGCGCTCCGCCCTTCCTAAACCTCTTATTTTCCCCTAGACTGATGTGCTTAATAGAGGCAAGGAGCGGTGGTAGTGGTTGGGCTGCAGGGCGTCTAGGAAACTGACATATTATCGTGATCTCTATATCCTGCGCCAGGACAGTGTTGCCTTCAGCCTCGCAGATTACATGGTTCTTGACTGAAGTTAACACTCGGAAGTTAACGTAGTCTCTTACAGTGTATGAAGACCTGTTATACAGGCAACTATTTAGTTCATTTAAAGGTAAAATGATCTTTTTAATCTTTGAAAACAATTGAGCGTTTAAAAGTTAAATTTTTTTTTCGTTATTTTTTTTAAGAAAAATCAGCTGCTCTTGTATAGTGTGGGCTCTTAGGAAAACATCTACGATTGGCAAATGAGCTTACAGATGCGTACTGTCGCTGGTGTTGGTTGCTGCTCTTGGGCCTCGCTCAAACCCTTGACCATCTGGCATATTGCTTGGGTTCTTGTTATTCACTACTGTGTTCGAACTGGTCAAGTTCTTTGTCGCTGTACGGGATGCTTTTTCTGCCTAATTCATGTTCCTCTTTTTCTTCCTGTATATCTTCCCCAGTCTTTTGGTCTCTGAGCCAAGTTCCGTTACTTGCCATTTGGTAGTTTAAACTTGGTGAGCCATTCGTTATTCGTCTCTGACCTCTCGTCTCTCGCTATGAATCTCTGCTGCACAGGTTCTCGCTAATCCACAGGAACACCTTTAGTCACCCTAGCATGTTTCCTATTGTACACCTGTTACCTGATGGGGTTGGTTCTGTTTCGAAGGCTTTACGACGGTTCAAAAATCTAAAGTCGACCTACCGTCTCCCGGAGCCTCTACCGCCTGTAAATGTATATCTTGACAAGGTTATGCTGCAGGAGGTCTCGGTGGGACCCGGCCGTGCTGCTTCTATCGTGAAGACCAAGTATCTCTTCTCTAGTTCCTCACTCTTGTTTTTCTTGGCTAATGATCCCTAAACTCTGTTCAGTTTGTCTTGCTCCTTGACTAGGTTCCTTCCCCCCTCTGTAATTACTTAAGCAACTTGCGTCTGGCTGTTACCAGTACACATTCATGTAATGATTGTGTGGTTCAGTGCCAGAGCATGTGCACAAACATAGCTTTACCCAGCCCACATAGCTTTACCCAGCCCACATAGCTTTACCCAGACCACATACCTTTTATCAGCCCCACAGCTTTACTCAACCCACATGGCTTTACTCGGACAACATAGTTTTACACACACCACATAGCATATTCCAGCCTACATGGCTTTACCCAGACCCCAAAGCTTTACCAAGATCACAAAGCTTTACCCAGCCTATATAGCTTTACCCAGCCTACATAGCTTAACCCAGACCTCATAGCTTTACTTAGCCTACATAGCTTTATCCAGCCCACATAGCTTTACCATGACCACATAGCTTTATGCAGACCTCATACCTGTACCATGCCTACGTAGATTTATCCAACCTACATAGCTTTATCCAGCCCACATAGCTTTACCCAGCCTACATAGATTTATTCAGCTTACATAGCTGTACCAAGTCCACATAACTTACCCAGACCACATAACTTTACCCAGCCCACATAGCTTTACCCAGCCTACAAAGCTTTACGCAGACCACATAGCTTTACCTAGCCTACAAAGCTTTATGCAGACAACATAGCTTTACCCAACTCACATGGCGTTACCCAGCCCATACAGCTTTAGCCAGCCCGCATAGCTTTACCCAACCCACATTGCTTTACCCAGCCTACATAGCTTTACGCAGACCTCATACCTGTACCATGCCCACATAGATTTTCCCAGCCAACATAGCTTTACCCAGCTCACATAGGTTTACCCAACCCGCATAGATTTACCCAGCCCACATAGTTTACCCAGCCCAAATAGCTTTATGCAGACCACATAGCTTTTCCCAGCCCACATAGATTTACCAAGCCTACATAGCTTTACCCAGACCACATAGCTTTACCTAGCCTACATAGCTTTACTCAGCCCCCATAGCTTTACCAACACCACTTAGCTTTACCCAACCCACATAGCTTTACTCAGCCTAGATACCTTTACCCAGCACGGTGGGGAGCCGGTGGCTGAGCGGACAGAACACGGGTCGCGTGATCCTGTGGTCCCGGGTTCGATCCAGGGCGCCAGAGAGAAACAATGGGCAGTGCTTCTTTCACCCTGATGCCCTTGTTACCTGACAGCAAATAGGTACCTGGGAGTTAGTCAGCTGTCACGGGCTGCTTCCTGGGGGTGGAGGCCTGGTCGAGGACCGGGCCGTTGGGACAGTAAGCCCCGAAATCATTTCAAGATAACCTCAAGATATCCAACATAGCCAGCCCATATAGCTTTACCCAGCCCACATAGTTTTACTCGGCAAACATAGCTTTTCCCAGCTCATATAGCTTTACCCAACTAACATAACTTTACCCACTTTACCCAGCTCGCATAGCTTTAGCCACCCCAAGTAGCTTTACCGGCCCACATAGCTTTACTCGGACTATATAGCATTACCCATTCCACATAGCCTTACCCAGCCCAGATAGCTTTTCGCAGCCCTAATTGCTTTTCCCAGCCCACATAGCTTTACCCAGACAACATAGCTCTATCCAGCCTACATAGCTTTACCCAGACCACATACCTTTATCCAGCCAATATAGCATTATCCACAACATACCTTTACCCAAACCACATAGCTTTACCCAGACCACATAGCTCTACCCAGCCTACATAGCTTTATGCAGACCACATAGTTTTACCCAGACCTCATAGCTTTACCCAGCCCACATAAATTTACCCAGCCCACATAGCTTTACCAAGCTCACATAGCTTCCCCCACCCGCATAGCTTTACCCAGATCACATTGGTTTACCTAGCCGACATTACTTTACCCAGACCACATAGCTTTACCAAGCCTACATAGCTTTATGCAGCTCACATAGCTTTACCAAGCCTACATAGCTTTACCCCAGACTACATATCTTTACCCAGCCTGTGTAGCTTTACTCAGCCCCCATAGCTTTACCCAGACCACATAGCTTTATTCAGCCCACATAGCATTATCCAACCCCCATAGCTTTACAATTCCCACATAGTTTTACCCAGCCCACATAGCTTTACTCAGCCCACATAGATTTACCCAGCCCACATAGCTTTACCCAGACTACATAGCTTTATTCAGCCTACATAGGTTTACCCAGACCACATACCTTTAACCTGTCTACATAGCTTTATCCAGCCTACGTAGCTTTATCCCCCTACATAGCTTTGCCCAGTCAACATAGATTTACTCAGACCACATAGCTTTACCAAGCCCACATAGCTTTACCCAGCCCACATAGCTTTACCCAGACTACATAGTTTTATCCAGCCTACATAGGTTTACCTAGACCACGTACTTTTAACCAGTCTACATAGGTTTATTCAGAATACATAGCTTTATCCACCCTACATAGCTTTACCCAGCCAACATTGATTAACTCAGACCACATTGTTTTACCCAGCCTACATAGCATTACTCAGACAACATAGCTTTACCCAGCCCACATAGATTTACCCAAACTATATAGCTTTAACCAGCCCAATAGCTTTACTCAGGCCACAGGCTTTTCCCAGCCCACATATCTTTACTCAGCCCTCATAAATTTACTTAGCCCACATAGCCTTTCCCAGCCCAAATAGCTTTACACAGTCCACATAGCTCTACCCAACCCACTTAGCTTTATGCAGACCACATAACTTTACCCAGCCCACATAGTTTTACGTTTCCTACATACCTTTAACCAGCCTACATAGTTTAATACAGCCTACTCAGCTCTATAAGGCCTATTAAGCTTTAACCAGCCCACATAGCTTTACCAAGCCTACATAGAGTTACCCAGACCACATAACTTTACCGAGACCACATAGCTTTACTCATCTTACATAGGCATACCCAGACAACATAGCTCTACCGGGTCCCACATAACTTTACCCAGCTAACAAAGCTTTACCCAGCCTACATAGCCTTACCCAGACCACACAGATTTACCCTAGCCCACATAGCTTTACCCAGTCTACATAGCTTTATGCAGACAACATTGCTCTACCCAAACCTCATATCTTTACCTAGCAAACATAGCTTTACCCAGGCAACATAGCTTTACCCAACCATCATAGCTTTTCCCAGCCCACACAGCTTTACTGAGTCTACATAGCTTTACCAAGACCACATAAATTTACCCAGCCCAAATAGCTTTACCCAGCCTACATAGATTTACCCAGACCACCTAGCC